AGAGCCTGGGTGATCGAAATAAAAATGTTATAAATCATTGTAAGTACTAATTCGTTAAAGTTTCGATTTTCTTGATACTACATTAAACAATTTATTTTTAATTTGAATACTTGTATATTATCCACACTGTAACATTTAAATTTTTGTCAAACAAGAGTTTTTACCATATATACGTATATATTTACTCGTACACAAAAAAAATAGCTTGCCTATTCGTCAGAATATGAGATTCGTAATTGTATGATTATTTAATATTTTAATGTGCATAATTGAATGCGTAATTAAAAATAATATTCTCTTTTTAGTGGACATTTCTATTGAAATGGGACATATTAAGAAACCAGGGATGGAATTTCTGTAAATAAACAAAAATACAATATAACAAAAACCCGCATAAGGAATCATTTTATCTTCTCAATTATCAATCTATGTAAAAATTGTATTTGTATTTTAAAACTAGCTGACCCTGTCCGCGTTGCCGGCCCGTAGTTTTAGTCTATTATGCATATTTGTCAAAGCATAATTATTCAAAGATATGACTGTTATAAGTGTTCATGTACTGGTCGATTAATTTTTAGTTTTTAGTCAAATGAGCAGTAATTTGGAATTTACTGTATTTTGTACACCTCATAATTGAGGGCTGAATGATTTAAGAATAGCCAAAGTTAATTACTTTTTTAAACCCATTAACACCTCAGATTGTGCATTAGAGTTCTCATAAGTCCGCCAAAAGGTGGACTTGTGGGGGTACTATTACATGGAGAAAATTCTAAAATTTGTAGATATGTTGAAATTTTTGTGTACGATTTTCACCCCCCCCCCCCCCCAAATACACATTTTTAGCCAAATCCTTTGAAATAAGGTAAAATCAGGAAGTACCTTCATATGGGCACTACTGCGAAACATCGACCTACATTGAAAACTTTCTTCACCCCTTATAATCCAAGATGACAAATAGAGGTTAAATCGAAAATATAGCAGAACAACATAGCATGTCAAACTGAAAAAAATTCACGTGATTTAAATAAGTAAAAATAATTTTATCCATCTCATAATTGAGGGCAGACTGATTTCAGGATAATCAAATATAATTACTATTTTACTCCAATTACCGTAAGATGGGAACTAATTTTATTTGTCATTTAAATTGTAAATTGGAGACGCCATAAAGTCCATATTTTTCATCATAGTATAATTCAATGACGATTCAACAAATATTCGGTCCCGTGCTACTTTTTTATATTTATAATTTGTTCTTGTTTTTCACAATTTATTTGATTTGGGATGTACATCTATATCTACGTTCCCAACCAATATTCTCTTGGGGGTTACAAATTCAATAGAATACAAAATTTTCTTTTCTGACCACACATTAGATGTGAAAGTGGGCTTGGGATACTCCAATGTGGGGACTTTACATGAATAAATTTCTATGTGGCAATTATCTGTACGATGGTTCCTTACGCCAGGGTAGCATAAATACAATTTTTTAGTGGTCAAGACCAATATGGGCCCTACTCCGAGAATTTTCTACTCCCTTAGAAACAAAGATGCCAAATAAGGGCCAAAAATAGAAGAAAATGACGAAGACTCCAAAAATAGCTTAAATCATACAATGGTTATTTATGATCGATATCATATATCATATTGCAGGTCATGAAAAAGCGATTTAAGGTATCTTAAATGTTCGGGAAGAATTTTTGGAAGGATAGAAATCCTTTTCTTACTAAAAGTCCCATTCGCTCTACTATTTTGCACCCTTTATATTTGGTACTTTACTGATTGTAGTCCCAAAAATTTTTGCATTTTGAGCTCTCATTGGACGGATTATTGTCACATGAAAGAAGTAGGTCCACGCTTTGAAATGAGCACCATTAGTCTTTTTCGGTCATTTTTGTTTGTTTAAATGTCTGCGCATCTTCCAGCTGAAGCACGATGTAGGCCCTGGAGTTGAAAGGTAGATGTTAGTTACAATCGTATTTCGCACTTATTTCATTTTTTGGTGAAAAATTGTATATAGTGAAAAATTATTCTTTATTTCGTTCACAAAAAATCCACTGAATTCAATATGATAATACAAATTGAAAAAAAAATGACAAAAGAATAATAACAAATTGAAAAAATCTTCAACTTGTTCGCTGATTTTTTACAGGAACTGTTTAAAGATCCTTACAAAGTTTGTCAATAGAATGTACTTTTATTTTAAAATTCAATTCCATTGGACATTTTTTTCGATATTTTCCCGTTTTGAGAATTTTTGTAATGAGATCTCTTTTTTCGTAATTTTTTTTTTTAGCGATTTTGAAAAGGTTATTATCTTCTAACTTTGGTGTGACCGCGTTAAATTTCGATATCATCTATTCCGTTTCGCCACCACATAATTCGGTACTACACTTCCATGTAACCCGTCATCAATTTCAGTTCTCAAGAAATCAAGTCAATTAAATAAATTGATATTAATATTCGAATTCAAAAATAAAATATAAAAAACACTACAAATGTACATTAGAAAAAAGTGAGTCAAAATGGAAAAAAATCATGCAAAATAAAACATTACTATTGTACATTTCAAAAGTCAAAATGAAAATGTTAATATATCACATTTTCACGTGATTTTTTTTGTATTGTCCTTTTCGGATAGGAGACAATTCCGAATTTGTATGAATCATTAAAATCAGTTCAGCGGTTCTTAAGTTATAAGCGTAGTAACTAACACAACTTTCATTTATATATATAGATGTTTTCAAAGATTTAAAAAAAAAAATTTAAGCATTTTCAATTGCATGTAGCCCCCACATAAAATTACCACCATATATTCGGTATTTTCATGTTTTTGGTCAAATTGTTTATGGGATTGCCTTTCCCTAGTCGAAAATTGTCTCTATAGGTACAAGTATGGCACAACTACAGAAGGTAGAACAAAACTACCCCCTAAATACAATTGTTTTCTTTTGGCGCCCTTGTTCTGTCAAAAAATATATACATTTTGTGTACATATGTGTGTATTGTTTCGCGTAAAAAATACAGTATTTTGAAATTATTTAAAATTCGGTTGTAAAATAAATGCATACTTTCGACGTTTATGGGCAACACATTGTACAAATTTGGGATAAGACTGTAATCGCCTACTAGTTTAGATTCAATCTTGTGAAATAACCCCAAAATTCCATTTTTTTCATGGGTTTTCCCCAATATAAGAGTTTTATTAAAAAAAGAAAAATAAACAAAATCAACTGTCGCATATTTAAAAGTCTAATTAACATATATTAAAGACTCTAGCACAGAGGTAAATTTTTCTAGTTCCTTTGAAGTTGTGCAACCTTTCTTATTCCGGCAAGTATTTCCGAATTTAGTCAGATATTTCAAAGGATTTGTTCCTTATAATAGCCTGCATATTGGTATTTTTTATTTAAATGTTTAAATGGTCAGCAATATTGCCACAAAGTATTTGGTCATAGAGGTATCGAAGCACTTCAAGAAATGCAGAAACATAATCTTGCAAATGGGATGTGTATTCAGGATTGTGGATTCAGGAATGATGCGAGGTATGTTGTGAATGTAAAATGACTTAAAACCCGTTTAACAAATAATTTGAAAATTAATCAACTCGGGCGTTGAATTTAGTTCATACGAATGTAACTTTCATTTACTATCATACCCGTAACTAACTTTAAATCGACAGAGGATTTACTAAAACTTGTAGCCTGTTCAGCAAAATTATTTTTCTACCATTTGCAAGTCAAATGACAGACAAATAGATTTTTTGGTTTTAGTACGTAATAAATGAAAAGTGCTTTTATCAAAATACAGAATAGAGAGAGGTACTGATATATGTGGCCTATACGAAAACCTGGACCTGCATAGACAATTTTCTGTCACAGACTGTAGTTCCCATTACGGACTCTAAATACGTAATTTGAAACTACTCCGGTAAATAATGACGCTAAAATCATCAAAATACCGAATATTGGGAGGGGGCTATACGAAGTCGTGTACCTGCAAAGACAATTTTCTGTCATAGGCTGTAGTGTCCATTACGAACTTCAAATACTAAATTTGAGACATTTTAGGTGAATAATGTCGTTAAAATCATCAAAATACCGAATTTAGGGAGGTACTGTTATATGGGGGCTATATGAAGAAGTGGACCTGCACAGACAATTTTCTGTCTTAGGCTGTAGTATCCATTTCGAACTTCAAATGCCAAATTTAAAACAATTACGGTGAATAACGTCGTTAAAATCATCAAAATACGGTATATCGGGAGGTACAGTTAACTGGAGGCTATATGAAAACGTGGACCTAGATGACACATTTACGAACTTAACCTGCCTACTGGAAAATAAACATGTGTGCAAAATATACATTCTTTGTTGGGTCTGACATGAGTATTTTGAGGAGTTACAAACGAAATGACAAAGTTAATATACCCTCCATAGTATGGTGGAGGGTATAATAAAATATGTGATATAAATTATGTTGCTAATTAAAGAAAAAATCATAACTACGGAAAATCCCATCGTGTAGTTTTTTCAACAATATACGCTAATCTTTTACAATCGTCTCTAAAAATAACAAAACACAAATTACTAACATTTTTCCCACATCTTTTAATTTTTAAAAGAAAATAAGGTTGATAACTTATTAGTTGAAATTTTCAAAATCTTCAAAGTATCGGGAGCTGACCCTGTAACTCATATTACGTTACATAAACTGTTCTAGCACTCAAAATAGCAAGTACCGTATACCATAACCTGCTAAATAAAATAATACAAGATTGTTTTAAGTTGTACACAGGCACGATCTTGTAAAAATATTATATAAGTCTCAATGAGAATAATTTCAATCGCACAGTAACATTTTGAAATCATTGACAAAAAAACTAAAGGGGGATATTATCAAAAGTTATTGAAAAATCTGACGAAAACTTCAAAACCAAATATACCACGTTAGAAGTACAAATAATGACGATGTGTTGATATTGCAAATTTGGTACTTACCAGATGTTGTTGGGACACCTGCACTTGGAATTGTTAAAAGTTTAGGAGCTATTGAAGGTGAGGATTCGAGAGTCTTTTTATTTGGCGCTGACGAAGAAGTGGCAACAAGCATTTGCATATACTTAACTTTGCCTGTAGAATCAACTAACTGAACTAATTTCTTTTGTAAAATTTGTTTAGCAGGAACAGAAGAGTGCTTAGTTTGTATATTTGTTGGCCGTGCTGAATTTATGGGTGTAGATTGTGAAGCTGATATATTTCTGACTGAATTTGTAACTGGTAATATCGTTCTCTTAACAGCGGAAGTTACGGGATTGAAAGGCACACTAATCTTGACATCGTTATTTATAAAAATAGAGCTTTTATGCTGAGAAGGAACGCAATTTACTGCAATTGAAGTAGAGTTTGCAGCCAAAGGAGGCACTACCATCTGTTGTTGTTGATTGGTAGTTTCCATTGTCCTTATGTCTTCTTTCATCAGAATTTTAAAATCATTTAACATTGACATATTTTTGTGTTCATGTTTAATTTCCTTAGTTTTAATGTCCTTGTTTGTTTCAACAGTAGATTTAATCACATTCTCTAATTGTGTTTTCGATTGAATCTTGTCCGGAGAGCCAATTTTTGTAGCACTTATTGCTTTAACTGGGCTTTTGTGGACTTTTGCTTCGGAAATCACAAAAGTTGGTTGAATTTTTTCAATGTCAGCGCTTATAGAATTTTGGCTAGCTTCAATTTTATTCAAAAATTCCAAGAGATTATCGTCCACTAACTCTTCCGTTGGATGTACTTCGCAATGTCTATTTGTTCTACTTGGTAGATCGATCTCCGTTGTAGTTTTTCCAGTTTTATTGATAGGTTGATTACCAGAAATATTTTTTAACCAGACTTCTAATAATGTTTCAGCCCCTAGTGTTTGTATACCAGAAAGAGTTTTGTCTAATACCACCGTATGGAGAAGCTGAATTGGTTTTTGGTTAAATTCGTCATGGAAGAAAAGCTGCACTCTTATTGGAAATTCTCCCCAGCCCCTCCTGGCCACATGAAATGGTGGAGATAACACATCCACAACATCGTTTGGACGATATGAATGATGTAAGTGAAACCGAACTTTTTTTACAAATTTTTCAAGTGGAGTCGAAGATTTTTTCGTCTGAACATACACTAGCCACTTATGTGTTAATAATTGTGGCTTATGTCTCAGATCCATTGTTTGTTCCGCTCCAATAAATTTAGATGTATTACCGACCACAAATAAATGTTTTTCTTTATTGTTTAATCTAGACGAATTCAATGCATTAGCTAGTTTGCCTTTCCCCGCTTCTGCCTGAGTTATTGACAATTGTTTTGGCGAATCAGTTTTTAATGATTGCGCTGCATTTAAAAAAGCCGAAATATCAGTCCTCTGGTCATCATTTGCAGAGTGATCAATAACAATTCCCTGACCTCTTATAATTTGCTTTAATTTCCTTTCTTCTTTTTTCTGAATCTCGGATTTTGCTCGTATCGTTTGAACGGCATTCTTTGCTGCTGTTCTCTTAGGGCAAGAACGTATCACATCCGACAAGTCTTTCGGTTTTTTTCCAATTAGTTTTTTTAATGATGGATGTATTTGCATTTGTGGTCCTTTATCCTCTCTGCTAAATAAAAACTGTGCACTTCTTACGGCTGATGTTGTTACAGCCGCTACCGGCAAGTCTTGTTTTTTATAGTAATCCGAAACTAAAGAATACCTCAGTTTATCAAGAATACATCTTGCTTTTTCAAGACGGTCATCAATTTCAAGTAGCTGCTTTTGTTTAAATGCCAACTCACTAGTGAATTCTCGTTCAATGATTTGTCGAACTTTTTCCACACACGCCTCGCTTCTTCTTACGGAAAGAGTCCCCAAAGTATCTTGTTTTTGCCGTTTGGCAATACAACTTTCAGGGCCTCCAGATTCATCACATGTGATCTGTTCAGTTTGGTGATAATCTGGATCATGGAATTCACTAAGTTTACGTTTCCTGGGTGAAGACTGTCCACTGAACATGTCACTATTGAACAATCTTCCGGAAATAAATGTGTTTTAATGTCTGACAAACCTTGACCACTGCTCCCGTCAAGCTTGAAACAATAGAAATTCTGTGGAGTGTTCAAAAATTTAATATTATAATTTTATTGTTTCAATAAAATGATACGTATTCATTTATAAATATTATCACTTGCACTCTTGCATCAAAACAATTCATTTTATCCTATAACAAGCAAAACAAACCTAATTTACATGTAAATAAAATATTTTAAAGCACACACTACGCAGCAGAGTGTAAGGTCACTAGAAATATCTGTCGGCGTTGAAAATACTGATTCACCGGCGGGAAATAAATACACCAACAAGGTAGTGGCATCAACGGGTAAAGTACTCATTACCATTTTTGCTGATATAAATTAACGCGGTTAGTGGGAGAAATATATTTTTATCATATAAATAATATATCACAAGATTTGAAATAATAATTTTTTACAACAGAAATCAACAATAATTCTTTGCTTCTATTATAATATTTTGGTAATACGGCTACGACAAAACATTTTACATAGGCCCGTTCTTATATCTTTCCTTTATAGTCCATTTTTTGTTACCACCTACTTTAGGAAAAGTAAAGGACAAAGTTCACATTATCGTGTTTTCATTATTACATCTTTCCATTAAAATAAATGCATTTTTAAGAGATATGGCAAGTTTTTTGTAAAAGTAATTGGTAATCACTGCATTTTTTCGCAATGACATATTCATTTTAGTTTAAAAATAAAAAAACATGACGCATTTGTAATTTATTTATTTAACATTTGCGTTACCTATTTTTTATTTTTATTAATGTTGCTGTTACTGTCACATTATTAATATAAAATATGGCAACATGAATTCAGTAAATTTTTTGTTAAAAGATTAAGGAAAGATAGTCTGATCTTTTGCTTATCGGACAGTTCATACTTATAACCGGTCATAGGCCCGTTCTTATATATTTCCTTTATAGTCCACTTTTGTTATCCCTTACATTAGGAAAAGTAATAGATAAAGTTCACATTATCGGGTTCTCATTATTACATCTTTCTTTCAAAATATATGCATTTTTTACAGAGATATGGCAAGGTTTTTGTTCAAAGTATTCACTACACCACATAGTGGTAAGAGTATTATGCCTTTGTGCATTTGTTTGTAACATGGAGAAGGAAGCGAGATAGACCCATAGTTACTTTTGAGGATCTCCATAGAATCACTTTCTGAGTTGACTTATGCATGTCAGTGCGTTCGTCCGTCCGTACGTCTGTCCATGTATTCTTGTGAACAAAATGCAGCTCAGAAATATCTTTGCCAAAATTTATCGAGGTCAGTTCAGATTTGGATATAGCTCCCATATATATTTATCTGATTTCAAATTAATTTTGCACCAAATGGGCAATACAAGTCCGAATTTAAAAGATACAAATGTTTCGGCATATTTAGTCCTTTGAACTTTAAATTACAATTATAATCATAGCGTGTATGATTAAATTCTCCCATAAAATCTTTTCATTGTTATGTGGAACTCTACAAAATTAGCAATTTGCTATATTTTTTTATTTAAATAAATATTGCTGTTATTGCCATATTATCAATAAAAAAAATATGGCAACATGAATTCAGTAAACTTTACGTTAAATTATAAAGGGAAGATGGTCTGACCTATTGCTTATCGGACAGTTCATACATAAATGAACTTGTAATAACGAAAAACGATTTATGTGTCCGACAACATCACTTTTTTATCTATCGGCAAGATGTAATAACCGGCCATAGTGTATTTTTATATAGTATGTCGGGTATTGGCTGGGACTGGCAGGACATAACGTAACCATAAGATTTACACAATATTTTCAAAATCACGCGAAATGGCAAAACACTTTAAATGTACGTTTACCATAAAATTCACCACAAATTTGACCTTGCAAAACATACGTTAAATTTATTTTGATTAATGAAATATCGAGGTTAAACCGCATACAGGTTTTGAATGTTAATGTACTATAACTTTAGAAGGGATCATTCTAGATGTCAAAAATTTTAGTCATACAAATTTTAGTTGCCTTCTTAACCCATTAGTGGACGAAGTTCCCTGGGCACTATCTTTAAGCGATCTACACCAATTACAAATAAAAATGGTCCAGTTAATTTGTTTTAAAAACAATTTATTCAAAAAAGCTTATGGTTTTTGGAGTTATGGACCGTCCCTTATAAGGGACGCTGCGCATTGGATACACTTGGCTTATGATATTCCTTAAAGCAATTTTTAGGGTGGAGACCTTTGTCACACTTCTTACAAATAAAGTTAGACTTTTTGCCGCATAATCCACACCCTTTATCTGTTTTTGAATATTCAATAATGTGGTTTCTGCCATCATATCTTGTATCTGCACTGACATTGCTATTGCGCAAACCTCTTGATGCTGGGGTACCATACGATTCCAAATATGATGTTGCAAGATAACGGCGAAAATTTAGAAGAGTTGAACATGCCGGATCATTGGGATGTAACTTCTTCATTAACAGCCATGCATTCACTACTGACGCATCAAGCAAATATGCAAATATGGGCACCACCATTTTTTTCCTGATTCTAGAGCGGTAGACTGCAAATAGTTGGTCCATTTTATCCACTGCTCCCATGCCCACATTATATCGATGAAACAATTTTGGTTGAGAAATACTTACAGCACCCCGCCCTTTAACGAAGCGTTTGCATGTTCCCACTTTATTACTATCAAAATTGGTGGCAATTGTAACAACATTATTATTCTTCCATCGTGTTAGCAATATATTACCGTTACATGTAAATCGATGATCTTATGAACCTCTATATTCTTTTTTCATTGCCGGGATTGAGCGAAGGGGACATTTTTCTGTTCGACCTTCCCGTTTGGTTCCAGAGGTACATATTCCGATGGAAGACAAGTGTCGCAGTAATTTTACGGATGTGAAATAGTTTTCTATGAATACCTAGAATACGTAGAATTATATTATTATTTTTTTAATATGAACACTCTTATTATATTACCTTTAATACTTTATTAGATGGAACGTTAGCTTTTGAGAGGAGGTCAATGACCTTATCGGCACCTCCACCAAATTCTTTGGGAGTACTCTCTGCCGTTTTCCCCATATATATATATATATATATATATATATATATATATATATATATATATATATATATATATATATATATATATATATATATATATATATATATATATATAATATATATATATATATATATATATATATATATATATATATATATATATATATATATATATATATATATATATATATATATATATATATATATATATCAAATTGCACCATAAAACCGTTAGCAGAATTTAACGCCCAATTTTTAAAACCAAATCAACAATTCTTTTGGAGTTTATTTGCTTCACAAAATTTTTAATTATATCCTCGTTGAAAAATAATTCAAAAAAAATCAGTGGAGTTTTACATAACTGAGCTTCAGCACTTGGTGGAATCATAGTACATTCTGTATTTTTTTCGTAGGATGGTTTAACTTTGCGCCAACTATTCGTATTTCTCAGTCTGTTTGACACGTCGGAAACTCGCATGTATTTCTCAAGGGGCTCATCATCACTGTCATCCCAATCACTACTTTCTTTCCATGTTACTTCACATTGAGTAGATAACAGTTTTGGACCAAGGTGATTCATGTTTCCTTCGTGCTCATCATCGCTTTCATCAGTATCTACACCATCTATTGGTGGGATCGCGTAAATTTCAATGTCGTGCAACTCATTATCGTCAATAGCATCCAATTCATTCAGTATTTCAGAAACTGTAAGTCTGCACATATAAGATTTATTACTCAAGCAGTGGATTAAAATTGTACTACGGGCGCAGTGTCCCTCTTAGGGGAGGTTGCATTCATAGTCACTTTATGCACGTGTCACAACAATATTCGTTGGAGTGTCAGTAACGGCAATATCATCAAAATAATAAATTCGGAGAGGTACCATTTGATGGCGGCTATATGAAAATTGTTAAAATGATCCGGAGGAAAACATAACAAACTTACGAACTAACGTTGATAAAGAATATTTATACTTTGTAGGACTTAACACGATTATTCGAGGAGTTTTGAGTGGATTGCCAAAGTTACCTATCCTAAACAATATACTTAGACAAAATCAAGTAGTGACGTATGACTTATGTAAATATATGTCTAACTTTCTTATTGTCACACAGAACTTTTAGAAAACACTGGAAAGGTACAACCATGGTACAATGAAGAAAAGGTAGGCTAACTTTGAAAAAGTTGTTAGCATACAGGTCTACCTGTTTGGCTTGTAATGTCAGAATTACTATCAAAATAATCAAAAGACCAAACAACTTGTTGCATTGATTTTGAATGTATAATTGAAAACCGCGAAAAATGAATGAAAGGTCAACATTTATTTTTAAAATCACATTCTATATATCCCTAAAGGTTTATTTTGCTGCAAAAACTGCAGATTTTGTCGATGCATACGTTGCAAAAAGCATTTTGAAAACACCCGAATTTGAATATTTTCTGCACTTTTTTTATTATTGAAAAGAATACACACACTTAAACAAATAAAGTTGACTTATTAAGCCAAGAAAATAAAAAAATTAAAATCATATGGTAGTTCTGCCCTACCTTGATTTTGTTGTACCATGGGTACAACCTGACTTAACACAGTGGATTACATCTAGTTAAGTTTCCGGTACTTTGCAAATAAACCCACTTGAATGTAAAGAATTCTACCAAAAGGAGAACTCTCAATTTCAAGAATTAGAAAAATACAATTTTCAATTTATAGGAAGTAATGATTTTGAAGGTGTAGGAAATGCTGAATTTCAAGATATAGAAAATTAATATTTCAAGACTTAAGTACTCTTCAAGCCGATGCCCTAGCAGGGTATATTATTCAGAAGATCAACCTTGATCAGTACTTAAGTCTTAAAAACTCTTTCCCCTGGGTTTCATCGGATTCCCAAAGGACCATCACCATCATGAGACTTTTTCTTAAAAATTAAACAACTTGAGTTGGTTTTGGAGAGTGTAAAAGGAAATAAAAATGATCATCAGGAACAACTTCACAGCCGGATGACCAAAATGAGTGCGTTTGTAGATCTTCTATAACGAATTAAAAATCTTAATACCAATTCATGATATTATTTAGAACGAGCCTAATTGCCGAATCTGGTGAATCATATGGGAACTATAGTTATATCTACACTTATTTAAATCTAGATAGACAACTGTGTTTTCGTTA